ATACATAGATAATATTCTGTGTATATGTGTAAGGTCTACTCTCTTAATTTTGTTTTTTCTTTTTTTTTTTTTTAAAGATTTATTTATTTATTCAAACAGAACTGGGGTACAAGTCAGAGTTGTAGGGATGGTAAGAGGCTTCCCTAGAGACAGAGTGGGGAGCAGAACAGGCCGACTAATGAAGTACACTGATAAGAGGAACTCGGACAGGTCGGAAGAGGTCTGCCATGCCATGTGGATCGCCTTCAGGGTGGGTGGGGATTGAACTCATACTGAAGTGGCTTTAGCTTCTTAGTGCTGTGCTTTAACCTGCTGTGCTACCAGGGAGGGCCATACTCTCTCAATTTTCAATTACAAATTGCAGTGTTGCTAACTATAGGTACCATGGTACACATTAGATTTTCCAGAACTTACTTACCCTATCATTGGAAGTTTGTACCCTTTAATCAATAGCATTCACTTCCTCCCACCCCACCCGCTGCGCCACCAGGGAGGGTCCTTTGCCCATTTTTCAATCAGATTATTTAAGTTTTGCTACTGAATTCAATGAGTTCCTTCCATTTTGTGGATATTAACCCATTAATGAATATATGGTTTGCAAGCATTTTCTCCAATTTCATATGTTGGCTTTTCACTAAATGATGGTTGTTATGTAGGCTTTCATGTTAATGTAGTTCTATTTGTTGATTTTACTTTCTTGCCTGTGCAAAATGTATGCCTACTAATATAGTATGCAGCATAATACTTTTTGTAAAACTAAAGATCTAGACATTTACAGGGTCCTCACTATTTTGACAAGGGTCCTCATTAACCTTATTCTACAACTCAAATTAGTAGTATTTAGAGTGCAAGCATTTGGTTTCTCACGAATTAGATGACTCGGGCTCCATATAAGTAAATTTTTGCATTTTATATCTTCTCGCTTAATATCCTTACTTCAATTTAATTTAATCCTTACCTAAATATCTTATTAATTTGAGTGATATTAAGTAATAAGCATGGTGATGTATAATTCTTAAGTAATTTAAACCAAAAAATCTCTTGTAGCAAAACTACCAGGTGTTTCAATATTTTTGTTCACTGGTTCACTGAAGCAAAAATTCAATCTACATTCAGCCAAACAAATAAGGATTACAATACCATAGAAGCAATAAACCTAAGAAAATAACATAAATTAGTAAGTAATAAAGATAAACTCTTCAACTGGGTAGGGGAAGAAAACAATGACAGAAATTAGGTTGTCATCAAGTGCTATCTTTAAAGAATACAAACTACTACAAAAACATCTCATACCTTCTGAGAGCCTTAAATATGACAAAGTTTTCCCACATGTAGGCAGACAATTAAAGCAATTGTTCTGCAAAATGAAACATACTTTATTACGAATATCATCTATACAAAAATATTAATGATGAAAGTAACAATCACCATGTATAATTCTAATAATTCACTTAGTGATAGGCTTCTTATAGCTCATTAGACATGAATAAGTAAAGGAAAAATAGCAAACCTTGCTCTACTGCATACTAAGATTTCATATCTTAATAAGTCTGTCAATTACTTTTAACCATGTAGATCTGCAGGATACATATTAAGACATAAATATATCTAACATAGATTTAAATTTTTTTAAAGATTTATTTATTTATTCATACAGAGCTGGGGTACAGGCCAGAGATGCGGAGGGTGAGAGGATTCACCAGAGACAGAGTGGGGAGTAGAACAGGCAGATGGAGGAAGTACGCTGTTGAGAGGAGTAGTGGGCGGGTCAGGAGAGGTCTGCTATGCCATGTGGATCTCCTCCAGGGCAGGCGGGGATCTAACCCATGAGGAAGTGGCTTAATTTTCTTAGTGCAGTGCTTTAACCAGGGAGGGCCAGATTTAAAATTTTAATGCATGGTCAACATCTTTGAAAACTAGCAAAACAAGGGCCTCCCTGGTGGCACAAGGGATTAAGTATCAGCACTACCAAACTTTCTTCAAGCAACTGCAGCATGAGTTCAATCCCCGGCCAGGGAGCTAGCTCACATGGCACAGCAGACCTTTCCTGTCTCATTGGCTGCTTCTCTCAGCAGTGTATTTCAGTAGATCTGACTATTCTGTTCCCCACTCTGTCTCTGGTGAATTTTCTCACTCTCCTGAACCTCTGCCCTACACTCAAGTTCTTGTATGCATAAATAAAAATAAATCTTAAAAAAAAAAAAAACTAGCAAAAGTAAAGATTGGGTTTCCAAACATGTTAAAAAAAAAAAATCCTCTAGTGAAACAAAAGAGCAAGGCACAGGTTCAAAGTATGGGGACTCTTGTGCCTAACGCCAAAAATCCCTTCTTAGAGCATACATAGACTGGATGCCTGTGCCCAGCTATAAGGAAAAGCAAAGAGGCTAGACTCACTGACAAACCCTAGATGGATGAAGCAGAGTGACATTAGGCAGGAGTAAGAAACTCTGTACCACTAGTGTCCATTTCTTTTGACTCAGGAAATAAAATCAAAAGAAATGAATTACAAAAATGTGTCACAAAGAAAATAGGATCATTACCCTACTCTTTCCTGCCAAGATTTTTTACAAAAAGGCATGCTCAAGAAAAAAGGACTTTCTGAATTGACTAATGAGTAATAGTGTAAAGAAAATAAAAAGGTTTCAAATATCAAGAAAGAAAAAAAAGGAAAAGCAAGTGAAAGAAAAAAGTAGCCATGAAGATGAAAATGATACGCAAACATTTCATGACAAAACTGAACTTGAAAAGTATCACTGTAACAAAGGAAACATTAAACACAGATGCATGGGATTCAGAAAAAAGATGGCAAGAAATGGTAAGAAATTCAATGTGAACTGACAGGTGAGAGAAGTAAAAGGAAAATAAGTACCACTGAAAGCCCAAATGGAAGCAGCAGAAGAAAAAACAGACACAGTAAAAACACAGACAAATTTTCAAAAGACCAAAGAAGTTCTAGTTAAAAAAAAAAAAAATCTAATGATATGAATAATAGGCAAGATGAATCGACAAACATATGTATAATTAGAATTTCTTCAAATAAGAAAACCAAAATAGAAGAACTAAATTATTCTCAGTATAGTTTAAGAGAAGCTTCCAGACATAAATGAAAATACAAACTAAAGATTAAAATAAAACACATTCGGCGTCGCTGATGGCATAGGTGCTAAGTCTCAGCACTGTCACCATCACCCCCTACAGCCTGAGATCATGGCTGGCCAGGATGCTAACACACATACGGTGAAACTGACCTCTCCTGTCTCACGCATTCTTCCCTAGCAGTGTATTTCAGTAGATCCATCTGTTCTGCTCCCCACTCTATCTCTGGTGAATCCTTTCACTCCCCAAACCTCTGGCCTGTACCCCAGTTCTTGTATGCATAAATAAATAAAAATAATTTTTTATAAGGATATAAATTAGACAGGTAGACAGAGAAAAAAGATTATTAATAAAAGCACAAGACAGAGTGTAAAGATCAAGTATAAGTCTAATTGGAATTATAAAAGGTAATAAAAATTTCAAGGAAAAATCAACATTTAAAGAATTAACAGGTGAGAATTTTCCAGAATTGTCATGATACAAAAGCCAGATTTAATTTGCACAATAATGCAAAGTAGGGTAAATAAAAATTTCCAAATAAATTATAGTGAAACTAAGGAAACATAAAGACCAAAAGAAAATTTAAAATCAACTACAGATAAAAGACAAAGGATGACTTACACAAGAATGAAAATTAGATTCCTTTGTTATCAAAATTTGCGAAGTCAGAGAAATAAAAAAAAAAATAAGATAATAAACCTATTACACTACCCACCAAATTCAAACTCATTGCACTTTAACTGATCAAAGTTTTTCTAAAGATACACGCATTCCTTCTTCAGAAAATGTATAAAGTACTGCTGATAACAGGATTCTCTATTGCAAAATTCTTTATCATGCCTTTCTAAGGAACAAGAATATTCTTTGATTTGACTATAACTACATCACTTCATCTAAGATAAAATTAGTTCACTAACATATTCTAAGAGTTTGGATGAAATTTTCCCTGTTATCCCAAAAATATCCTCTAAGGCTTTTCTTTTTACTTATCCAGAATTTAATTAAAATTTATGCATTAATTTTAGATTCAGTTTTAGCTCTTAAATCTCTCTTAATTTAGAAAGAAAATCACACTATTTCCCTTAGTTTTTCATGACATTAACCAATTGAAAAGTTCAATTCAGTTATCCTGAAAGAGTATCCTACATTCTGGATAAGTTTGACTGTTGCCTCATTACTACAGGTCAAGCATGTTTAGGAAAATACCACTTAGGTGAACCACATTATGCCTCCAGAATTCTCACAACTGGCAATACCAATTGTATCATTTAAAAAATTTTTCTTTGTAATGAATATGTCACCTGTTAAGTGATATTTTCAGGCTCTAGAGTACATTTTTAAATGGCACCTGTGAAAGACAAAGGAAGGTACTTAGCACAAAGTCAAAAGAACAAAGCCAAAAAAAAAAGGTTACTAAAGTAGAAATGTACTGCCCACTGAAATATCACTTAACAACAAAGGCAAGATAAAAGTTATTATTTTATAAGTCGGTAAAAAACAACTGATAGAGGATCCTCCCAGGTGGCGCAGCGGGTTAAAGCACAACACTAAAAAGTTAAAGCCACTTCAGTATAAGTTCGATCCCCACACCACCCCCACACACACACCCCCAGGTGATCCTCATGTCACTGCAGACCTCTCCTGACCTGCCCGCTGCTCCCTTCAGCAGTGTACTTTGATCTGCCAGTTCTGCTCCCCATTCTGTCTCTGGTGAATCCTCACACCGCCCCTGTACCTCTGGCCTATACCCCAGTTCTGTATGCATAAATAAATAAATCTTAAAAAAAAAAAAAACTGATAGAAAGACAATGTGCACACAAAAAGAATTGTTTGCACAGAGATTTGTTTTCTATACACTTGCCAGGAACTTAACATTTTTAGTATATCTTGAAAAAGTACTTTACCTGCCATCTCTTCTGAGGGCAAAACTAATGCCATCTTTCTGGAAAGGAAGCAGCTTTGCCCTTAGTTTGTCAGGCAAAAAATCCAGTTGTTTACAAGATTCACTTCCCAAACAAGAGGACTGAAGTACAACAGACTTCTTAATGTTACAGTCTATAGGCATGATGATCCTGAAAAATAAACCACAAAAGGTGTTTTGAGAGGGGACAGTGAAACAATTATTACTAAGTGTACGAGAGAATTAAACATAAATCATAACATTAAAGTACCTATTAATACTTGGTATACTATCTATATGGATATGAACTTGATAAATCATGTTCCCAGAGTAAGTTATCAGGAAAATTCAAAGAATTCAGGCAAACTATGCACTTAATGCACTACTTAGTAACTCAGCATCCTCTATTTAATTTCTATTTCTAATTGGGTAATTATGTAGCTGTATCTTGTTTTAAGCAGTAAATGTATACTGAAACGTTACAAATCAACTAGATTTTTACAAACCAAATACATTTTAATTAATGATGAATTTAATGTAGAAAGTAGTATTTTTATAGGTATACCTTTTAAGGTCATACCAGATTCCTAAAAAGTGGAGTAAAACTGCATTTTAAAAAGTACTAAATACAAACACATTAGTAGGAAGTATATAATGATTAAATTGACTCTAAGTTACTAAGATTGATTCTTAAATATTAAAATGATTCACTCTGCCCGATTAATACTTTTACCACTAGATTTCCACAGATGCAATTTTAATTGTCTACCACAAAAAATTTCATGTATATGGAAATTCTTAGAGCTCTGCAAGCAAAGGTCTATTAAGTCACTAAATTATAAATCTCTTTAATACTATTACTTTTCATTTGTTTACATATGATCTTATTCCATTTTTAAAACAAATTTGCTTTTCTCTGAATTACTTGCAGACTTAGAAAACTTTTATCTACCTATCCTTAAAAAAACATAATCGGCCCTCCCTGGTGGCGCAGAGGGTTAAAGCACTGCACTAAGAAACTAAAGCCACTTCAGCATGAGTTCGATCCCCGCCTGCCCCGGAGGTGACCACATGGCACGGCAGACCTCTCCTGACCCGCCCGCTGCTCCCCTCAGCAGTGTACTTCATCCATCTGCCTGTTCTGCTCCCCACTGTCTCTGGTGAAGCCTCTCACAATCCCTGCACCTCTGGCCTGTGCCCCAGTTCTGTGTGAACAAATAAATAAATCTTTAAAAAAATAAAGCATAATCAACTTATGTTTAATGTTCAAGCATCTCAAAAATTAAACAACTTTTTACTAACAAATATACTTAATACATCCCACAATCTAGAGGCAAGGGCAATAACCTCTCAGAATTTATATTCTTGCGGGTAAGACTAATAGGATAAACAAGTTGACTAATGACCATATAAAATAAATACTATTAAGAACTTCAGAGGGTAGTGATTACGTTAGGTAGACTGACTATGAAAGGCATCACTTAAATCATGCAAGGCCTACAGGCTGAAAGACAAAAAAAAAAATGGCCAGATTCAAAGCTGCAAGAAGAGCAGTCCAAGCAGGGAACATCCCTCAACCTGGGCTGAGAGAAGATTTGGTGTTTTCTAGAAATAGAAAGGAATCCAAAGTGACTGAACAAGAGAATGTTATGGGGATGAAGTTATTGAGAAAAAAAGTTCTAGTCATTAAAAGACCCTAATAAAGGTTTTGGTTCTATTGGTATGTTAAGGATCAAGGGAGCCAAAGGAGTTGCGATGTCAGTACATGATTAGCATGATGGGATTATGCAAACTGAATTATAATGAAAAATTCAGTTCTTCATTTGCATCAACCATGTTACAACTACTCAGTGACCAAGTATAGCTAGTGGATATCATATTGATCAGTGCAGGCATAGTATATTTCTATCTTCAATTAAAGTTCTATTGGACAACACTTCCTAGAGGGTTTTAAGCAGGGAAGGGCCATGGTGTAACTTACATTTCAAACTGCCAGTGAAGGATAATACCATCAACAAAAGGCAAGAGATAACTGTTACTATAGACTTAGCCAGTCCACAGAGCCCCAATGCTTCGCTATGCAACTGGTTTTAGAAATGACTTATGACTCAGAAGTGTCTGAATAAATTCTCCATAAACACCAATAAGTAAGCAACCCTAGTATCCTCTCAACAGTTATGAAAATCTTGAGTGAAGAATTGAGTTCAGTAAAAACAGGGGACAGTATCAAAGCTAGAAACCTATTATTAATGCTGAAATGGACAAGAGTGATCTTGAGCACTGGAACTAGATTTAGTACATGTGTCAGAGTTTAACACATAGTACTTGCTACATGTAAAATGAGGAAAACTTGCACTAAGACTTAATTTAGACTGATGGAGTTGATGAAATTTACAGAAATAATAAAGAATAAAAAAATAAATGAGTTGGGGAATAAAAATTGAACACATCTTTTAGCAATATTTAAAGTTTGAGATGGTTATTCACCATAAAATAAAAATGTCAGATATGTGTGGAAATATGTAAGTCTGGATAGAATGTGTAAGTCTGATAGTACTTAGGAATCAATATGAGGCAGTAGCTATTCTTTGAGAGTACCTGACATACCATCCTGAGACTATATTTAAGAATTTCCTCAAATTACAAGTCTGGGTGAAAGTAAGGTATCACTTCCTCAAAAAGTAGAGGTAAAAATTCATTTGCTAAAAGAAAACTGGAAACATCTGTTTTGTTTTCCTAGCCTGATTTCCAACTATTGGGTTTATGACTAAGATATATCCATTTGGGACTTGAATCTAGAAAGTCCAAACTCAAATAAGAAGGATTAAGTGAATTCCATCCAGGTAAGAGTAGCAGTAGCAGAGTTATATTCACTTACCAGAAGTTCAGTGATTCACAAGTACTTTTCAGGGTTACACAGTTTATGTTTTTTCTCAAGACATTTAAAACAGATTTTTAAACTCTGAATGGAATAGAAGGGAAAAAAATATTCTGCACTATGTTAAGCACCATGTTTAAGGCTAAAGATAATATTAGAAGTAAAGACATTTTATAATAAAATGTTTACTGGAAATATAAAGAGCCTCAAAAATATATAAAACTAAAAGGCAAAACTGAAGAAAAAAAAGACAGAGATTTTAGTACATCTCTATCAGTTATTGAATATATAAGCAGATTAAAAATCTATAAGGACATGGAACATTTAAAGAACACAAAAAAGTCTTGACTCATTTGATGAAATGATAGAAATATTCTTTCCAAACTAATTGCAGCCTAAACTTGATGTAACAGGTACATTAAAAGAAGAAAATATATATAAATCATTTTCTCATTCATATGTTACTAAAAATATTAGTTAAAAAAACAAACACAACTATAAATTAATAGTCTAAGATATAACAACTAAAATGGGCTTATTTTATGACTGCAAGGCTGATTCAACTTTCAAAGTTTAGTCAATTAACAAGGCGATCCTAAAATTCACCGGAAATGCAAGGACCAAAACAACTAAAATAATCTTATAAGGAACAAAGTTGGAAATTTATACTTCCCTGATTGTAAAACTTACTGAGAAGCTACATAATCAACATGATGTACTACTAGCATAATAATAAACATACTCCAGGCTTACAAAAATGTATATTCTGTTTATAAGTTTATATCTGATACACTTATTATCACTAAGTTGTAACCTAAATTTAATAAATTGAAATGTTTTTACTAATAAAACATCATACTAAATTCCAATAAATTATAGCATCATATAATATTTTTAAATCATTTATGGGACTTTTAAAATTTCCATATCTGGTGTCACTTATGATCATAACCAGGACACCAGATTCTTTCATTCTATAGGCAACAGCTTTAACAGTAATGATATAATAACTCCCACTGATTGAGTGACTTTTTTCTGTGAGGCATTAGGCTAGATTCTAGAAAATCTCCTGTAATTCCCAAAGCAATTCACACAGATACGTAATTATCACCTTTATTTTTAAGGACATGAAACTTTAAGTTTCATGATATTAAATAATTTACACAAGTTTTCACAGTTAGCATGGGTAGTACTAAACCTGGACGTCAGATTGGCCTAATTTCTGAATTTCTGTCCCCATGCAATACTACCTCTTAAAATTACTCATTCAACAAATACTAAACTGAACACTTCTTATGTGAAACATTGTAAAAGGTATCAGATATACAAAGATGAATTTGTGCCATTATAGCCTTATCTGAGCCCAATCTAGGAAAAAAAAAAGGTAAATAATAGCAACACAATGCAGTAAATGATTATAAAATAAACTTATGTATTTGCTATATACATATATCTAAATATGCATCTATACAAGGTCTCCTACATAATTAGGAGTGTGCTCAAAGTAGATGAAAAAAATCCATGGTATATAGGTCTTATTTAAATATTTGATGTAACTCTGAAACTTAAAGAGTAAATGAAGATAAGAATATTCTAGGGAGAATGAAGCCATATTTGCAAAAGCACAAAGTTTAAGAAAATCCTAAGCTATATAGTATAGGCAGAGAATAAGATGCTTCACAAAGTATGTTATGGTCAGGTCAGAGAGATTCTCATAAACCATGTTAAAAGATCTTGAACCTTTTCCTGTAAAGAATTGGGAAGCTTTCCTAGAGGTCAGTCAGGTCACTATTTTACAAGATTATCTTGTTGTATTTGGAAGAATGGATGTGGGAGCAGAGACAACCTTTGAGAAGACTACAGCAAATAATCCAGGTAATACCAATTATAATCTCTCAGCTTTAGACTCCTATATCAAATTACCTACCTGACATTTTAGATGTCTTACAAACATTTCTAACCAAAATGTTCAAATGAAAGTACTAGTTTGTTCACCAAACTTGTTACTCCCTGCCCAATCTCTCAATAATACCACAACCATTCAGATTACTCCAACTAGAACCTGGTTTCTTAATTTCTCCCTCTACCTTAGCCATCAAATTACATGCTCCATAGTCATCATCTATCCCAAACTATCAATATTTAGCTGCAATACTGCAATAGCTCATAATCAGACTCCCCCACCCCCATTTTCCTTATTATCAGTTGGTTTTCTTAAATACTTGCTGTCATTGGCAATTATTTTGATTTGCTTACTTCAATTTTGCCTCTCTTATTAGAATGGCTTCATAAAGGCAAGGGCCATAAACTGACTTGTTCATCATTGTTTTACTTCAGCACACTGCTATCAGCCAGGTTAATAGAAGCAATATTAACAAAACAACACACATTATGTGCTAGGTACATTTTATGTGTTTTAAATATATAGTCATTTATTTGACATATATTAAGTCATTTACTAAACAGCCTTTGAAGTAGGAATTCTACAGTGTCTGTCTCACAGATATGAAAATTAAGGAACAGAAATTTCACCAAGGTGTACCCAAAGGTATACCCTTTGGTTTACCCAAAGGGTAAATGGCAGAACAGATTCAAAGCTGGGCAGCCTAGAGTTGATTTGCTTGATCATAATCCCATATCCAGTACCCCCCTTAGTAAATGATCAATAAATATTTCATGACCAAATTAGCAAATGAAATAGAAAATAAATACAAGAGGTAAAGAATTTGGGAAAATGTTCAATTTGAAGTACTTGGAGAGGGGTTGAAAAGTGTATAAAAAGTTATAAAAGAGATAGCATTTAAAGTCAATAGGTTCTAAAGGAAGCCACCTATACAACACAAGTCTTTGTATAAAAACTGATTATGTAATTTAAAAAATAGTATTCTTGAACTGCAACCATGTAAACCTAATTAACTGCAATAAAAAATAGGTTTTATAAAGTTGAAAATGACCCATCCAACCTTGATGATACCTAAGAAAAACTCTGCATTCTTAATATGAAATGAAATATTTGCCATTTTTTTAAGAAATTGTATACTTACTTACATAAATGGCAAACATGAATTATTCAAATATAAAAGTGCCAAGATTTATCTTTACTTTGACAAAATGATACTAACATGTATTTTATCAAATATAAGAAAACTTAAGAGTGACAAGAACATGTCTAAACAAGAAGAATGAGAACATAAATTACCTACTAGATATCAAAACATACTATAAACTTATAGAAATTAAGATAATGGGTATGATACAAGTATCAATAGAAGAAAGAAAAAGAAAAGAACAGTCAAAACAAAACCTAATGCATATGCAAATTATGAGTATAATAAAAATGACATTTCAAGTCAGTGGGGGAGGGAAGATGAATTATTCACTAAATTAAAAATGTCAGTTATCTTGTTCCTTATACCAAAGATAGTGTAAAATTACCTGTAACAACATATCAAAATTGCATATACTTTATTTTCTGATTTTTAAGCATCACAACTAGACATTATAAAGGAAAAGATAGATTTTAATACTAAAATAATTTAAATTTGTCATGTAAAAACAGCATTAAAAAATTAAAAAGACAAATTTCAAAGTCTGCAAAGTATGTGTGAGTTAACAATCTCAGAAGTAATTTCTTTAACATGATTTAAAAAGGCAGTGACAGATAAAACAGGCTATTCAAGAGGTCAAAGAGTCAATATCCATATAAAAATGCTCAATATCAACAGAATCCAATTATATATAATTCAATTAATACGGGATTACATTTTACAATCAGATTAGATAGATTAAAGTATGGAAAATGAGTGTTCTCAAGCATTACTAACAACAAAGAAAATGAGCAGTTTTTCTGAAAACAAGTTTAGAAATTAAGGTGTTTCTGGCTAAATAATCTTCGAAAAAGTTTAAGGATAAGGCAGACAGTACAAATGACTGCATTGCTTGTAAATGTTAATAGTTGACCTAACAATTCCATTTTTGTGTATACATTAAAAAGAAATAAAATCTGGATCTTGAAGAGGTTATTTACACACCCCACCCATGTTCACAGTAGCATTATTCAAAACATCCAAGAGGTAAAAGCACATATGCTACAATGTGGGCAAATGTGCAAAGTAAAATAAGACACTCAAAGAAAGACAAATACTAACAGTCAAATTCTTAACAGATAGTAAGGATGGTGCTTATCAGTGGTGGATGGGGTAGAAAATGGAAATGGAGCTCCAATGACCCAAGAATTTCAATTTTGCATGATGAGAAAGTTCCAGAGATCTGTTGTATAACAAGATGCATATATTTAACTCTGCATGTATTATACTCTTAGGAGGGGCTAAGATGGTAAATTTTGGTTTTTACTACAAAAAAACTTTACTGAAAATAATATGAATATCCATTAGCTAAGAACTAGTGGGTAATGTTAATGAGACATACCATGAAATACCAGGGTTAGCCCATCAAAAATAATATTAATATTTATAAGGTCATACACAGATCAATACAGAGTTAGTTGAGCTAAAAAGGAAGTTTATAAGAGGAAATTAGTATAACTTTCATAAATATGCACTATGAAAATTTAGATATCTGAAAATATGCACTAAAATTCAACATAGACTTCTCTAGGTAATAGGATTACAGATAACCTTTACTTTCCTTTTGATATTTTCCTATGTTTTTAAGTACAGTGAGTATGTATTTCCATACATAGAAACTGAGGGCATAAAACAGGAAGGGACTGCCACCACTGATTCTGAATATCCACAATGGATTTTACTTTTCTCTCTCACTGTGTCTGGCACATAATGGGATTTATTACTGATGAGGAGCTTAACATGCTATTTAACTTCACTGAGTCCCCAATTTCTTCCAGATAACATTTAATGCAGATTGTTGCAGAGAAAATATACGTTAAAGTACTTACCATTCTTGGCTCAGAGGTAACACAATAAAATGATAACCATCATCACTATTTATTGACTTGATTTATTTTTGGAAGAACTCAGACACAAAACACACAAAAAAGTAAATGTCTCTAAAAAATTATACTTTAATTATAGATTAAATTAATTATACTTTAATTATAGATTACTCTGAGAACCCCAATTGCATTAAAAAAGCAGAAAAAACACTTTGGTGAATCCACAATAGTGGCTGAAAGATTTGGTTACATTCCTATATCTAGAAGGATTACACTATATATCATCTAGTTGATGAATAAACAACACAAATTAATACTGAACACTGACTTTAATCAATGTTTCAGTGACAAAATAGAAACAGAAAATACACTTATTTTAATACACTCGTATAATAGAAATGAGGTCAAATAATGCACAAGACATGAATAATGAAAATGGTTCAGAGAGAGATTAAAGAACAAGTAACATTGCCATTAATTTTGTTGGCCTTGGTCTTGTCTTACTAGTTTTTTACAAGGAGCTTTTTTTTGGGCACCACTCTATGACCAAAGTCTGGTATCATACCTAGTATAGGTTAGGTATTCAATAAACATTTACAAAATGATTTATAAGAGAAAGTTTTCATGAAATTATAAGGAACACTAAGTTAAAATTTAACTCAACATGATGGGGACTAGTTTAGGAATGAAAGCCATTTGGCTGAAGGAGGGAAGGCCTTTCCCCGTGAACTCTTTCTGCGTTCCCTTTATTCAACAACTTTTCCAAGGTACCAGAAAGGGTGGTCCAGCAAAAATAGTCAGCTTTGCATCCCGTGGG